CGGCAGGCTGGCGCGCTGGGCTCTCCTGATACAGCACTATGACTTTTCGGTGCAGTATCGAAAGGGGAGCACCAACGTGGTAGCTGACGCGCTATCTCGTGCCCCACTGTTGGCCGAGGACCTTGATCCCGGTGCGACCGCCGCTAGCGGTGCCTTAGCACTTGCAAGCGTCGGGGGCGAAACAGCAGCTTCGCCGCCGTTCGGCGTGAAGGGTGAGTCCCCATGCGGACAAACCTTGGCTGCTAACCAGGTAAGCGGCGCACCGCGAAGCGGCCGAGCGGGGGAGCTTTCCGAAGGCCACGAGGCCGAGAGCGAACCCGTAACGCCGACTCAAGCGGTTGTTGCTGCGGTCCTGAGTGGGCGCGATACCAGACTCCCCCATTTTGGGAGAATGGGCATCGCTTTCAGCAGAGAAGAGCTTCTGAAGGCCCAGCAAAGTGACCCATTTTGTCGCGAAATGTGCGACGGTCTCAGAGAGATGGAGCGCCGTGACGCTGCTTGTCCTGCAGCGGGCGCCGATAACGACTGTCTCGACGAGACGGAGCGCCGTGACGCTGCTTGCCCTGCAGCGGGCGCGAATAGGGGGCTCGAACCAGCGTGTGTCGCTGAGTCCCCGGCGGATTCATATTTGCTGGACCATGACGGGCTCCTGCTGAAGTATATAGCCACTGACGACGAGTCCATAGACCCGTTTAAGGTGGTTATGCCCAAAAGTCTGAGAGCCGCACTGTTGCGATCCTCTCACGACGAACCCATGGCCGGTCACCTGAGTGGCTCGAAAGTTTTTGCAAAACTGAGCCGCGTTGTGACCTGGCCCGGCATGAAGCGAGACATTTTTCGCTACTGCCGTTCTTGCCGCGTCTGTCAAACGGTGAAATCAAGGGGTGGCAAACCACCCGGTCTGATGAAACCGATTGTCAGTGAGCGTCCGTGGCAAGTGGCCACCTGCGATCTAATGGGACCATTTCCCAGAAGTAAGCAGGGGTTCATTCACCTGATGGTAGTCACTGATCACTTTTCGAAATGGGTGGAACTTTTCCCACTTCGGAAGGTGACAGCGCGAGCGGTGCTTGAGAAGCTGCAGGAAGTGTTTTGCCGGTTCGGCTTCCCGGAAAGGCTCATCACTGACAATGCTTCGTATTTCACCGCTCGGGTGTTTGGTGTCACGTGCCGTTCCCTCGGAATTGATCACTGCACCACTTCACCCTACCATCCCCAGTCCAATTTGACGGAGCGCGTCAATCGTACGCTCAAACCGATGTTGGCGGCCTTTGCCGAAAGTCAAAGGGACTGGGCAGACCATTTGAGTGAGTTCGCGTTCGCTATTCGAACATCCGAGAGTCGCTCAACTGGTTTCTCGCCCGCCTTCTTAAATTTTGGAAGGGAGTTGGCAAATCCGGTGACCAGCGTCACTCAATGCCAGCTCGAGGACGAGGAGGCGCCGGCAGACTGCTCTGCTTACGCGTCGGCACTTCGGGACAGACTTTGTCGAGCTTTCTGCAAAGCAAGGCAAAGTTTGGCGTCGGCCAGGGCTCAGCAGAAGGCCCAATATGACCGCAAGCATCGCGACCTAGTTTTTGAGGTGGGCGATCTTGTCCTGAAGCGCAACCACGCCCTTAGCGATGCCAGTAAGGGGTTCTCAACCTCGCTCGCTCCTAAGTGGCTTGGTCCGTACCAAGTGGAGAAAGCTTGCACTCCACTCGCGTACTTGCTGAAAAATCCCCAGACGGGAAAACTCAGCCGTGCCCATATCGCAGACCTGAAACCCTTTGTATCACGGTCTGACGAGCTCGCGCCAGAGCCCTGCGGCACTGCGCGCCAGCAACGGGGCACACCCGGAGCGGCGGACCGCATTCGGACCCCGCGCCGGTATAATCTGAGGAAGCGGTCACCTTTGTGATCTCGCGCCGGACGGCGGACTTCTCCGCAACCGAAGGCCCTCAGTTTAGTCTAGCCTCAGTATAGGTTAGCTTCTTTACGGCCTTTTCTCGTAAAGAAGTTGACCCCGCCCTGTCTGCTGCCAGTGTTTATTTTTTTTAAGTGTTCATGTGTATTTTATGTTTCTTTTGTCTAATATTAAGTGTTATTTGTATTTTGTTTTTTTTGCCAGATGTTTAGTGTCAGTATGCTCTGTGTTTACTTTTTTTTTCGTGTTCGTTTCGTCTACCGCGAAGGGAGCTGTGTGTGACCTTGAGTGTCGGTGCTTGCCGGGGGAGAGAGACGAAGGACGCTTTGCGCCTACGCTCGCGCAGCCGTCGGCGGTGTGTGTGCGTGTGTAAGTGCGTGACGCTTCAGTGCGAGCCCGCGAAGAGTGCGTCATGGCTTCCCCCCCATCGATGCGGACGCTGGAGGTGCTGGGGGGTCATTGACCCACTGACGTCAGACCATCTGGCTGTGCTCTGCTCTCGGCCGTCGTCGAAGAAGCCCCGCTGCCTTTACCACCATGGCTCCTGCGCGAGGCCAGCTGAAAGCAGCTATATGCTGCCGGCCAACGCCATTCGCAGCCAATTTGGGTCGGCCTCCCTGAGCACTGGAGGGGCCCAGCTTCGCGCAACGTTCCAGCTTCATCATCGAGCCAGAAATGCGGGGGCCTCCGAAGCACAGCCGAGGCAGCGTTCGTCGGACTCGCTGCTTATCAAGACCAGCAACGAGCCATCAGTGAGCCCCCTCCCGTACCTCTGACCTCGCACTCGGGCATCGCACCCAGCGGACACTGTCACGCCTTTACCGCCCCTCCGCGCACTGGACGCTATCCCCCTTCAGCACCACGAACACTAGTGCCACGTTGCTGTGCTCCCTTCCGCAGTTATTTGTATAGTGTCATGTGTTTATTTTGTTATTTATGTTTTGTTTCTCCTTGTAATCATTTTTTAGCAGCAGTAGCAGGGCTGGACTGAGGTTAGCTGTCGCTCATAGCAGTGTCACTTTAACTGCATGGGTGACGCCCGGCTGCCTTTTGCAGACCGGTAAAGGGCAAATTTAGGAGAGGGGGATGTGGGAATTGAGGCTGGCCCGCTGCCTTTAAGCGGGCTTTCCCGCCTTTTCTGCCGTTCTCATGTCCCGACATGTCTGCCCTCCTTGCTGTCTGCCGCGCTGGGAAGGGCGGAGTGACGTATAACTCCCTCACCCGGTAGCGGATGTTGACTGTGGCGCCGCACGCGGGGACCCCTGGGGGGTTTTCGCGCGCTGCGTCGGGAGCGGTCAGATACTCTCCGGGACAGCAAACGGTGAGCCACGCTATCTTTTCGTCCGTCGACTCCCGTCAGTCGGGGGCTCGTCGGACTTCGCTGACGGCGCCTCGCGCCCAAGGCGAACGCTCACCCGCTGTTTGCCCCGCTGCGTACGCACGGCCGAAGGGCGGTACGGTGTCCTAGTGCGTGGCCTCGCTACGCCGACCCGTCTCCCTTCGAAGCCAACGCGAGCGCCTTTGCCCTCGCTCGAGCAACCGGGCCTTTGCTCCGGTGTCTCCGTGGATCAGCTTTACCGCGGAGACGTGCTCGTGGCACCCCTGTGTAGTACTTTGTGCCCGTGGCGTGGATAAGCCTACTTGCTTTCCCGCCGCGCCTATTTGCAACGGGCTGTACTGCGTTTGGTGTTGCCACAATAATGTGTTGCGACTTGAGCAGTATCGTGTTTCCCGCCACGGCGACGGTTAATGCGTGCCCTGCGGCTCGCTAAGACCGGACCCACGCTGGTGGCCGTACTCCTTCGGGATACGTGTACACCACAACTCGTTAAAAAAAACTGGCAAAACTACCCTGTCACAAAACGAGCGCTCAAAAAGGGCGCGCCGCCAAATTCTCGCGACGAAGTGCCAGAAAGATGCCTCGAGGTCAACGATTAAAAAAAAGAAAACAAGCATCCAAAACTCCCCTGGGCGCGTGTCCCTCTCCCCTCTCGGAAGCGTAGGTTCCCCGACGAACCTCTTCACATCGCGGCCAAGCAAGCCCGGGAAATTTCTCGATGGAAAGGGGCGTGGTGATGCCGGGTGGCGTCATCTGTCGCGGACGGCCGTCGAACCGTCTTGCGCTTTCCCCCAGCCTTCGCTGCGCATCGGGCCGACGAAATGATGAGAATTTTCTGGAATCTCGCGCGGAAGGTATTTAACCGAGCAGCAGAGATGGGAGATCAGGAGAAGAAGGAAGTTAGTGCCAGTGTGTGGGGTTATTCCGCCGCGTCTGTCGGTGAAGGTTTTGTCCTTAGTGACAAAGCAGGAGAAAAAGAAAGTATGCGCCAGAGTGCGTAGGGTGTTTCACCTTGTGGGCGAAGCCTTTTGTCTTCCGTGACAAAGGAGGAGAAGAAGAGGATTTCCACCTGAGGGGTGAAGACTCAAGCTACAGGCAAGAGTGTGTGTCTACCGCTATCGAGCGAAGACGCGTGGCAACAGCTGCGTGTGTGAAGCCGAAGTGTTTCCGGCGAAGAAGTTTCGAGCCTGGAGAGCGGCCAATTGAAGACGCAAGGTTTCCTGGAAGAGAAACTTCGGGGGCAGCGGAACGACAACAACGCTGGACTTTGAGTGAGTGATTCTCGGAAGAGTATCATCCAGACTTTTGTTCCAAGAACTTTGGACTGAATAAGCTTTCTAACTCTTTAGTCTTTAAATGTCTTGGTTGTTCGATGCATGCGACTGCATTGTAGTGCGTATTGTTGTCTGTGTCCGTTGTTTCGAGTGTGGCTGATTGTACTGTGTAGTACATTGTTTGATTGGTGACATATTGTATTGAACTATAGTCGAGTGTGCATACTTGTGTATCGTTTTGATCTGCCATAACTGAGAATATAATCTTGTTTTGTTTATTAACTCTCGGCTCTGACTTGTTCTTTGGGCCACAGCCGGCGTCCGCTGGCGCGCCAAATAGGACCACTTCTAAATTGTCCACGCTTTCGTGGTGCGGTGCGGGGGGCCGATACTTCGGCCCTTGGAATTAGCTTGGCGATCGCCTCCCTAATTAACGGGACCTGTGACATACCCATACCACTGCAAAAGTAAGGAGCCATACCTCTTCTATGAAAGGTATGAGCACAACAGCTTCCCAATCATGCTGCTTCCCATTCAAGTCTGTGTTGAAGTCCTTGGGGTAGTAGTCCAAGATGGGAGATGCCTCGTTCTCCATGAGATCCTTTGAACAAGGGGATGCAAAAGCAACATTAAAGCACTTTCAGTAAGTCATGTTTTACGCACAGTAATATAAAAAACACACAAAAAAAATGAAATAACAGTTTGCACATAGACATACATGCTTGATGGCAAAAACAGGTACATCTACACATCAAGGCAGTGATATAACATGGTCGATTCAACATAGTACCAAAAGAAAGCCTGCGTTTTATCAGAGGATCTGAGATCAAAAATACAGAGATGGCCATTTTCTGGGACCACAAGCTCTCACGTGTTGTAATAACGTATTTACAAGATTGTAGGTCAACCCATTTTGTATACATTTGAAATCCGGTTGGGGGGGGGGGGGGGAGTCAACTTAGAATCAAAAACTACTTTCAGTTGTAATCTTTTTGAAAATAATCCCCGCATCTTCTCGCGAAGCTAGCTTTCCTGCACAGCTTTCAAGTGCTGCCGTACAGCCGCCTTTGATATAATTACCTTTGCAGACATTGTAAAATGTTTTCATGAAATGTGCTTGTACTTTCTTTCTTTTTTGCTGTGCAATTTTAGGTGTCGACCTAAATTCTATTCGACTTACAATCATTGAAAAACAGTACATTTGAAAACATTTACATCTGAACTAATCACAGGCGCTCGTTGGAATATTTGCTTTCTATGGCCACTCACCTGATAGGCGACGGGCACCAGCTTTTTGCTGGCTGAAGGAAGGATGGCCATGAGCTGCTGGAATGGCAGAAACGGCTTGCTCAGCTCAAACGTCATGTCCAAGTTCTGGAAATCCTTGATATCCGAAATGTATGGGGAGTAGTGGTGCGGGTAGAACCTGCAGAAATAGCATGGTGGCCAGCATTGTCACTAATCCTTTTGTGACTGAAAAAGCAAAATAGAAAAAAAACTACCAGAATGACCAAAACATCTTTTTTGTCACTCACTTTTTACACCTTCTTCTAAATAAAATGGCACAAATAATTAAATAAAATAGTTTCTTTACTGTTTGAATGACATATGAAGATTCAACATGCACGGTATCAGCGGCGGCAATACATTGAAAGAAGAGACACAGGAGGGGAAGACAGAACAAGCTCAATTGTGAAAAAACATGGTCAAGTGGGGCCATCTCGCAGCAATGATAAACAGAACTACAGTGGATACACACTCCATGCACGGTAACTGGCGCGCAGCCTCGCGGCCGTCAGAGCAGACAGCCGTTGAGAGCCTGAGCAGAACCAAACACTCTCCCAACGCCTGCTACCATGTAGTTTATCGGAATTGCCGTACAGTCAGTCTCTGATGACTGGTTCCACAAGAGTCCAATTTTTGGGGATGACTCGTGACCACTATACATAGTCCTCAATGGTCACAAAAGGGTTGAGTACTGGTCAGTTGTTGATCATTCCATTTAACACCACGGCTATACGAATGACAGTGAAACCCACTTAGTCCATGTTTTAATAGTAGGCCTAGACGTTTTCCCAATGACCCGAACATCCCCTAACCATCTCAAGCGCAGTTGACCAACTTTCCTCTTTAATACCACCTCGGTATAAATTATAAATTTTGCTACACGTAATCAGCAGCTTGCACAGCACGACCCATATAACGAAGCCCTTATTTCAGAAACTTTGTTTCGAAAGAAAAGGAAAAATTAATCTCCGTTGATTTGTTTGATATTGATTCGTTTGACTGCCTGCAAGATTTTGAAGACTGCAAGCCAGTACGAAAGCATGACGAAATTGAGCACATGTCACTGAAGTTTATGCACGACTGACTGACTACAATCAACTTAGCTTAACAGAAATGCATAGGCACGAGCAAACGAAAGGGAGCAATTTCTAATTTCAGCAGGCTCACGATAATTCAAACTATGATAATTCATACTTCCAGTTAATTCAAACAAAATTCAATTTTTTGGTTGTCCCTCTATTCTTGCAATGTATTTAAAAGCCTCTTATTTCAAACACCAAACTCGGTTATTTCATACTTTTTGTGGTTCACGCCAGAAAATATCTGCTGCTTTCCCACTACTGTTTGAAAATTTGGGTGCGTATATAATCTTAATAGTCTAAAAATGACAAATAACCTCAGACCTTTGAGGTAAAAGGTTTTGCTAGTAAAGAAATGTTTGAAACGAAGCACACGCATGGTAAACCATGATGCTTTTCAACTGGTATGGAGAGCTTAGTGCTGAAGGTGCATATAGCAAAGAAGCAGTTGGCTACTCATGATTTCTCTAAAAGGTCTGATCAGCAGTAAATGGCAATAAACTTGTGGACCTTACACCTCTGTTTTCTGTTTATTGTGTGCAGTTAGGGTTTTAAAACACTTAAAAATTTTTAAATGTGATAAATCAATGCCTAATCGCAATATGTGCTGTCACCTCACCCACAGTTATACACCTGAAAACGTCTGATAATTCAAACTTCCTGGTAATTCAAACAAAATTCGGAGGTCCCTTTGAGTTTGAATTAATGAAAGTTGGCTGTAATGATTTCAGAAAGAAGCCTTTGCCTTGCACTGGACATGAACTGTGATGAGGACAGTAATTTTTTTAAAATCCAAGTAAGATTGCAGTTCACATGCCAAACAGTTTCCCATAACCTTCCATGCAAAAAACTCCTTACCAGTTCCACGACTGCACGCCATTGTAGTAGTAGTGGAGGTTCCACTGAATGGCCCGGACGTAGCCGTGCGCTTGTTCTTGCATAACTTGCCTGAAAGAATACAAAACAACCCCTTGTGATGCCGACAAGTACAGAGGGGCTGCCACACAGCCTTGAAGTAAGAACAGAGAGCTCACTTGTTGACGTCTGAGTATTCCAATTTGTTGACGTAGTAATCCCGCTTGTGCTGACGAAACTCCATCTCAAGAAGACCTTCCTGGTCTTCGTCACTATCGAAGTCGGGAATGTCCAGGTGACTAAACTTTTCCAACAGGCCTGACAGAGAACGTAGAGCACTTTGAGACACTGACATTCAGCAGGCAGGAGAGGGCACTGCGTAATCACACAATGCTTATTCAGGAACAATAGGCTTTTAGGCCCACGTAATATAATAGAAACCTTGATATCTTTTGAAAACCTTATCTGAAGAACTAACCAGTGATGTACAATTATTTGACCATATCACGCTTTGCTTGTGCGCAGAAAAAAAAAAAGTTTGCATGTTTTCCAACCACGTCCCACGTGTTTCTCGTAAATTAATTTACTTCTACCAGTACATTGTTGTGGCCCTATGCTCGAAACTTCAGACTTGAATCATCAGATTTGATGCCCTCGATTCCCCCACTGGATTATGAGGGATGCAGCAAGTTTAGGGGTCTCATCAGATTTGATGCCCTCGATTCCCCCACTGGATTACGAGGGATGCAGCAAGTTTAGGGGTCTGGTTTAATTTTCACCAGCTTAGGTTACTTAACGTGTATTTAAATCTAAACAAGCAAGCGTTTGCTACATACTGCCTCTACAGAAATGCAACAACGGCAGCTGGAAAGTGAACCCAGGACCTCACCTTCAGCTGCAGTATCTCAAAATTCTGAGTCTATGTTAATGTTACTTTTAATTACTTGAGACTTAAGAGAAGCAATTCAGGCTATTCACCTATATAGTCAAGCCCAGACATTTTGAATCAGAAGAGGATCCTTACAAGTAATTCTATAAACATATAATATTTCATATATAAAAATATATTTAGGAGATTCCATAATTATTTGATAAGCACAATAATTCATTATATGTAGGTGCAATATATGCAAGTTTGACTGTATTAATGCATGCCAGAAAGCTCTGCCCATGCCTACGTTTGAACTTGGCGGCATATTTCTGATATGAATTCATGACACAGCATGTACGCAAGAAAAAGGGCACAGCAACACTTTGATAGAGCTCGTTATCAAGTCTATTTTACAAAATAATGCTGAAAACCGCTTGGTGTATTCAAGGAGGAAGCTGCAGGTTACGTACTGCAGTTATTGATTGACCACATTCAATGATGCTGGGCTTTCTACGAAGCAACAATGGCACAAGTAACTGAACAGCTGGGGTAGCATTAGCCATCAGTGTTATCTGTCTACTGTCAGAGTGAGTCTTTCCCCACATTCTCAGGCACCCCAATGATAACCCGCAAATACAATGCCTAACAAGCAACCTCGCCCGAGGACACACATCGAAGTGGAAAGACTGCACTCTCCCCGTTTTGCCCTTACGCTTTTCATCTGGATCCTTAGTCTTCTCTTTGCCAGACGGTGGCGACCCGTTCTGCTGCACAATACCGTTTGGTGCTTCGGCATAGGCTCGTTTAGAAGCTAAGAACTTTTGGTCAGCCTGAACGTCTGAGAATTTTTCATAGTCAAACTGGAAAAAATGAAAACACAATAGTCAATAAAAAATGTGAGATCAATATTCAGAAAGAAAAAAAAAAACCTTAGTACGAAGATAAGCAAACATACCTGAGAAAGCCTGGTAAGAAATTTTTCAAACCGTTCCAAATTTAACTTTCCATATTCGTTGATGTAACCTGCAGGCAAAAAACAGAGGTTCAAGACAACTAAAAAGTACCTGGCTTATGTTCTCTGCTCTTTTTTGCAGTGCCACAGCACACGTGTGCTTCCCCTGGTGCGGAAGTCGCAAAACGCATTTGGTGGGGTCTCTGGACACTCTCTGATCTAGGAGGCTTTTTCTCAATCAATCTCACTTGTCGCGGACGACCCCCTCAAAGCTTCGTATCACTAACAAAGCGCCAGAGGCAGCACTAGAAAATAAAAACTGCGAATTCTGTACTAATTTGGGCATTAAATAGGTTCCTTGCACACTGAAATGCTTGGGCATATAAGAAAGTCCTTCTTGGGGGCACATTTAATGTATTACATGCCTGATAAACTAATAATCAATTTAAATTGCAACTTAATGCCCAAATTACACATGCAACCTCGGCAAACATAGACCAGTTGCTCCCGACATGAAGCCCTGCCCCCTCAAAGAGAGAGGAGAGGTGAAGCAGGGGAAAACTGCTATAACTGTACCAGGTTATCGCTAATAACAACTTTTTTCTCAGTTCTTAGCAAAACAAAAACAAACAGCAATTGAGTATACACATCCCTACATCCTTTGAAGGCGAATGTGATATCACTTGCCTCTTTGGACAGCAATGACAGAGCTCAACTTCAGTTTTAGGTTTCACAGGCAGATTAAAAAAAACTTGCCAAGACTTTTTTGCACTTCTCTATGAAGCAGGACTTTAATGCAACGTCCTTACCAGACAAGCTACAAACCACGCTAACTACAAGGGCTAGGCTGTGAAAAGAAAAGGAACAGGGGATACTTAAAATGCAAAGCGCCACCTGTCGCCATTGCAGTGCTGTCACATTCATCTGAAAGTGGCAACAGAACAGAGCTACAGTGTAACTGTAGCTCTGTTCAGTCGTACATATAACAGTCACACACATCAATGCACAGCCCCTTCCTTTGAAAACGACGTCAGGAACTTGCCTCCAAGAGATGGCATCACATCGATGTAGGCTTGGTAGAGAACCGGCAACGCATTGTGCGCAATGTGGAGATTGGGCAAGTGTGGAAGAAAGTCATTGCCCACTAGGAAACACATCAGCACCCAGTCGTCTATGATGTTGTCCATCTTGAACTCGAACGAATCGTCTTCTGTGGAGTACAAGAAGAGAATGACGGGGACACTATCCAGATGCATCCAATCTACAGCCTGCCCTTCAGAAGAGGACAGGTAGCTCACCTTTAACTCTTGGAATTCCAGCTCCAAGTACTCTCGCAGCAACGACAGATGGAGAAGGTGAAACGTGATCTCTTCAGGAACATTGAGCCTGCAAAAGCAACACAACAATGAGCAAATAAATATAAGCAACGCGAGCTTATTGATGTAGCGTACAGCGCGGCACTCAATCAATGACACAGTCACCTTTTAATAATGTAAAAAAAGCTATAAGTGTAAATATAACCCTTTAGAGGGCACACTTGTGCCCAGAAAGACAAGCTACAGTCGAAACAATGAGATGAAACTAGTGTTAGTGGTTGTCAAGTAATAGGAGGAAGACAACAGCTTCTTTTGCAACGAAATTCCGGGCAACTCGATGGTTTTAGTAATAATGTAAAACTGATTGAGAAATGTAATAAAAAACGGGAGTGGGAGACTATACAGCAGCTGGAAATATTGTCAAAACATTGCGATGCTTGCCCTTCTGTTTTAATATTACAATTTTTTAAAGTAAGAGTAAGCCTCCAGAAAAGCTGTAAAATTCTGTTAAAAAAAGAAAAAAAAGCAACTACTTGTGTTTATACATCCCCGCAATGCCCGTGAGAGCGCTTATCAGATGCGAGTTCCACTAGATGTATGGCTTTCTGCATCGGCAATGCATGACGATTTGATACAATTGACTGGGAAAACGTAGACCAAGGAAAAAAAAAATACTAAGGTTACTTAACGTAGAATTTAAGAGACCCAATGTTTTTTATTCTTCTTTGTAAATCTAGTGCACTGTAAATTTTCACAGCCGAAAGTACTAACTCATTCACAATGGTTGGCATGACACATGAATTCACAAACAGCCAAAAAAAATACACTCAAATTCAGTGGATGGCCAATACATGCAGTTCTGAATGCACATGCATTATACCAAACACAAAATATTACAAATGAATGCAAACCTCTTCAAATGCTTCCCTTTGCCATACACTATCTCCTCCCGAAGCAGTGCGAAGTGTGGTTCGTGAGAACACATGCCCAGCATAATCTGCAAAGAAATTACCAACTTGAAAGCTTCAGACCGAATTAATACATAGCAAAACTAAAAGAGCACTGTCTCCCTGTGAATAAGAAGACACATCGTTAAGGCAAAAATGTGAAACTCAAGTGTTCCAGAAATCAACAGATGACATATATATACCACCTTCAACTGCAATCCTTATTTGAACTGTGATCGCAACACTATATTAACAAAAAGAACAAACAAAATTATGTGAAGAAATGTTTCCAATGCCCCTGTCCCACGGCACATGTAATATCATTACTATGTACAAGTATACCTCGTTTAATAACCTATTTACGATGCACAGCGCAAATGGCGCCAGTTCAGCAAAAACTAGAAACGACATCATCTAGCTTTTCTTTCATGCAGCCATTTCGAGGTGGCTGTTATGTATCAATATCATTCACAGTAAGTGATATTTACTTTCAACGTCATAGTATTCTTGAGTTCTTGGTTTACATGGGCATAAGGGGGTATGCGCCCTTTGAAAACGGAGAAAATCGCAAAAAAGTCAATTTTTGAAAACCACATATTCTGGTAGTATGTCTTATAAACTATCTGTTCTGTAAATATAAATGTTTAATTCATCGCGAGAGTACATCAAATAAATTATGTAACATGCCGCGGCAGCTGGCAAGTGGCCAGCGAGCGCCGAAAACACCCCAACTTCGCGCGTTTGCAATTTCCCAACCACACGGCCTAGCGCCACCATCTTTGTCTTGTTTTGCTCGTGAATTCTTGCTGTTTATTTTTTTTTTTTGCCACCCACAGCAGCAGCAGCGGCGTGGCCGTGCAGGAATTGCCCATGATTTGGGGGCTCTTGAAGTTTTGAAGTCTCCCGCGGCTCGGATGCGAAAGTCGCGATTGCAGGAAGCGCGCGTGTCTCGAGGGAATGGGCGATCACACAGCTTCTATTGGCAGCTGCACGCGATGACGCATCTGTTCCCCCCACTCGCCGTCTACTCGGGTCGTTATGTTCTCTTGGCATGCGTTGTTTTCCCGTTTTCCATCATTCCGCTTGGTTCTCATGCATGCTCTTCAATTTTTCATTGTCTTTACAAGACGATCTCTCGCCGTGTTCATGGGATGCTGATTGTTGTCTATCAATGGGCAGGGCAAAGTTTGGGACTCGACACAAGTTCTGTTCAAGAAAGCATCTGATGAAGTTCGTACGCATGGTGAGGCTCATTGAAGCGCGAAACAGACGTGCGATTTTTTCTGCGATTCGGCGGGCGGTGCAATGATTCGACTGCCGGAGTGGTGACGTATCATCGCGTCAGCACCGCCGCATAGCCGGTGCGGCGAGCATCAAACCGGCCAGATATTAGGGAGTTTTAGTGCTGGGTACCCAAGCGGCTTGCGTACCCAGGACGTTGGGGCGGCGGTATTGCGCATGCGCGAAACCCCAAACAGATGCGTCGCAAGGTCGCGAGGGCACTGGGGCCATGCGTTCGCGCGGCCATAAACATCACTGCCACCACTACCCTCCTAGCGGAGATAAGCTGCCCCGGCGCACATGCTGGCGCATCATTTTACCTTCACGGCGAGCAAAGCCGAGGCTGGCCAGAGCCACCACTTTGACTTTTAAGTTTTAAGCGCAAATAATATAGTGCCACTATACAAATAGCATGGCACAAAGGCACCAAATTTCGGACAGCATGAATCGGCTGCCTTGTAAGGTCCACCTTCGCAGGAACTCACGGTATCCGGATTGCGGATACTGTAGCCGTAGAGTTAAAATAAGCCAAAGTGCGAGCACCAATAGCGATTACACTGTTTCAGCCAGATTACCAAAGCTAGAACGGCCTGGAACATAGAAACTAAAGAAATGCCAGCCCCCCGACCAGCTGAATACGTGGCGCCATCTAGCGCGGCCATAGTGAACCAGACAATCACAACATTGTTATTGCAGAAACATTGTGCATTGTACGTCTGGTGCTGAAAACCGTGCAGTGGCGTTATTACAAATTAGTAACCTTTTTATTTATTTTCACCTCAAAAACAGTACGCGTAAGCCAACATGCTCATGACTGTGGTTGCACGAAGTGTCACAAGATGTCGACACTATCGTTACACCAACCTTGTATTTTATTTTTTTTCCGATAAAAAGTCTCGTGATTTTGCAGCATCAGTGATTCATTCCTATGTAAGTTAAATGCAGTTTAAATGCAGTTAGCATCACCATTTATGGTATGCGAAAACGTAAATGGATAATGTTTGCGTATGATGAGCTCAAAACGTTGGAAGAGGCACGTTCCGGTAGGACGGTAAATGCAAACTGCTATCCGGTAACACGTTAACGTAAATAAGTATACGTACAAGGTAAAAGTTACACAGAGTTACATGTTACACCGTTGCTCTGTTGTCACGCTTGTCGGCCTACAACTGGCCGTCTAGATTGCTTGGCATCGACGGTGCCGGCTTCAGTCGCAAGTGTGGCGCATACGAAAAAGTTTTTTTTTGTGTTGATAACTGTCATATTATTTTAAAATGAATTATTGAAATTAGTGTACTTCATTTCACTATGTATGTTTAATTTAGCATTTTAAATCGTAAACATAATTAAATAATACTGACGCGACAATTAAGGCGCTGCGAGCGCATGTGATCTTCGTGTGCCTTGCATTTGCGTGCGCGCCTCTATAAGGCATTCTAGTTGGGTATGCAACGCCGCGCGCCCCCAATCTCGCAACGCCCAAAGAGCTTGCGTACCCAGCACTAAAGCTCCCTAATTTCGTCGCGGCATCGCACCGCCGCATGGCAGCAGCCAATCACAGTGCGAGCATACGGGTGGCGTCACGATGCTAGTGGCGCCATATCCCTGTCGCCGCTCCCTTCAACCATGGTTCAAGGCTCAAGGCGAGTCGACAAAGCGGTGCGAGCGTGGATTTGCTGACATCGCCGACTGCGGCGGCATGACAAACATCGAGTACATTTTCCTGGTGAAGTGATATCATTTTAGATTGAATAAAGTGATGCTTGATGTGTTCCTTTTCTGCACGACAATGCCCGTTTTGAAACCGCTAGCGAGATCGAAGATCGTGAGCAGCGATGCATGGGCCATTTACCAGCAGGTAAATTTTACCTGCTGTTTACCAGCAGGTAAACACAGCTACCGGCGTCTCTGCGCTGGCTCGCTTCGATTCCACCTTTGCTCTTCACATCGATGGCATCGATAAAGTAATAATGTATGCTAACGCATTACATACGAGCGCAATGCTTGATAGTGTTGTCAAAAACAAGCGCTCGATGACGAGCTCGCATGTGAACGGCGTAGGCGACGCCCGGCACCCGCGATGCTAGGCCTACCTGTCGGAGTCGTGAATAATCAGCTGTTGCCGTGGTTACGACGTGCTTGTCGTTAACAAATGCAATTGATTAATTATTTTTATAGAACGAAGCGTGGCTGTGCAATGTTGTTTGTTTTGAGCCTCATTACGAGAATACCAAGTCGTTCGACCCTGCATGCCGAGGCGCCGCATGGGGGCGGAGCCTGCCGCTGATAGCTCCTTTGCCCTCGCGTGTCCCGAAACGTCGCATGTGGCCCGCCGCACCATGCGACGCCGCATGCCGCATCGCACGGAAAATCGCAGGTCTGTCTCGCGCTTCAGGCCGACAACTGCGAGGGCGACAGGCGCATCGATGCTGAGCAGCTTCTCCTTTGTCTCTTCAAGACGACGACTGCATTGATACTTATTGCGAATCGACGTAACGCTTCGTCGTCACAAGTGAGGCTGGTGTTGGTGTTTCATGCTCAAGTGCGCCTAGTGCGTTGCACTCACTAACTGCAGTGATTATGGCCCTGAACAGATGTGACCGTGTCATTCACTGTGCCTTTGCCAACACGTTTTTGAATGTGCGAGGAGTTAGCTGCAGAGGATAGCGAACGTGTTGCTCTGCAACCAAAGCTCGGTGCTATGTCGGCAACTGACGGCGCTATGCCTGCAAACAACGGGCAGCGGAGACCCTTTTTTAGTGAAAAAGGCTCAAGAACAGTGCAAGACAAGCAGGAAAAGAGGAAAAAGAAAAGAAGTCCTAAAGCACATTTCTAGCTACTTTGCAGGGTCATTTTAGACCAAAATATGTGTTCAATACTTTCAACGTCCGTTTTCTCAGAATGACTTTTTTGGCCAGTGAGGCTGTTTAGTCTGGTGATATATCTGCAACCGCTCATCTGATTTTTATCAGATTTGTTTTGTTATGTACCATAATAAATAGCCCACACACTGACTAACCATTTTTAAATTTATTGCGTCTGTGTGATAACTAAAATTTTATCAATAAATGTTCAATGGCAAACACCAAATTCAGTGCCCTGCTAAAAATTTTCAGCAAGGAAATTAAAAAAAAAAGTCTCTGTTCTAGTGTAAAACACCCATGCAGGAATCATCACAGTGAATTTCACGGTGGTAGCACATTTATTAAATTCACCAAAGCCTGACTAAGAAACCTATATGGACTATCCTGATAAATGGCTGTAACTTTAGAACCAGTGAACCTAAATGGATGAAATTTTATGGATTATTCAAATGGCTTTATTATTAGCCTAGCCTGAAAATTCCATTAGGATATCTCAACAAACAAAAATGTTACCCTTCCATGGCAGCCTCCCCCATTAAAAATGGAATTAGTAAACTGGTGTAGATGTTTGGCAGTACACTGTGTGTTTTGCGTCCCATCATTACCTTGCGACGAAACTGCAGAGTTTGCTGCCACAACCTTACAGACATATAGCACACGAAATCCTGACTTTGCTACCATAAGACTACCCACCAAAACAGCATGGGTGAATAAAAATAAAGAACAATGACCATTTGCAGAACATAGCTGACAGGTGGCTTTGGCGTCATGGTGGAATCAGGTGCTCCTTGCAATAATACTTCCTTACTTTTGCAAAGTCAAACATTTGTCAAGCGTTGCAGATACTTCACCTTTACAAACATTTGTCAAGCGTTGCAGATACTTGACCTTTACCTACAGACACACCTTTTGTTCTCGATCTTAGGTTGGACACACGAAAATCCTTTAAAACTTTGTCAGAAACTCTGGCATTGCTTCAGCTATTAAAACAAACCTTTAGGTGTCTCATTTCAACAGTAATGAGACCAAAGTGAACAGATATGTAGACCATAAAGGTAGTGACAATGAAATAGCAATGGCACAAACACATGCTCAAAGTTCAGAAAGTCTACAGTGTGTGACAATAATAGTACAAGCAAAGTACGATTGTTAAAAAAAAATTCTCACCAAGTCGGCATCAAGCCCATACAAACAATGCCTCGTGTCTGGGTCGTAACCTGGCTGGGATCGTTCTGTCCGGATAAAATCCATCACCTTGTGTTCCCCTTCACCTGGTGTCTATTTAAAACAGCACGAAAAAGGAATCGTCCCATGAACAAAAGAGCTCAACAATAAAATTATATGGATGCATGCTTGTAGCAGAGAGTAGCATTCATCAGCACTATAAAAAATAATATTTGTAAGGCTGGAACGTCACAAAACCATCACCAGGGCAGTGCACACAATTAATATTGCACGATCGACCAAAGTTATGGCTGTCCTTAAATATTGTTGAAATCCTGTGCGACTATAATTCACCTATACTAAAGACTCTCAAACAAGCCTTCATGAAAGTGACTCTTATACACACCATCACAAAAAGGCATAGGGCATCTGACGCACCTTAGGTCTACAGGTAATACCATATTTTCTTGCGTATCAGACGCACCAATAAAAACTGAAAAATGTGCTTAAAAAGTGGGGGTGCAGACTATATGGTATCTTTCTTTCTTTTTTTTTTGAAGAGTTAAAGCTAGGGGTGCACGTTAAGAACAAATGCTAAATGACTCCTTGATAAACAACAAGTGATGCACATGCCAACTTTGACCACTAGAGTAGCCAGTCAGAAAAAATAAAATTAAAATAAAGTTTCAGCAACAAACCTGGTGGCCCGATAGGTAAACCTTGACGCCACGCCACAATGGGTCACTGGAGACCTTCACGGCCACAAACTGCTGTAGCTGATCCTGCAACCGTGCCATGAATTCGGTGCCTGCACCCGAATGCATGCTGTCATTCCTCACGTATAAGACGTGAATTGTCCACCAGAAAAGCTAGCTAGCATGTCGGAGTACTCTACAATTAATGCCTTCAAAAGTGTATCGCTGATGTGCAAATATAACACACACGCTTATAAGCAAAGTTAACTGCAAAGCTTGCAGGGTGCAAGTTCCACGAATCAAACAGAAATTTCAGTTCTTTTATTAAGGACATCATTCTTCTAATTAAGTGAATTAGCTAGCAGGCTGCAAAACCAAAATACAGTACAGATCGAGACTTCGATGCTCCTTTCAGCATTTTAGAATTCAGCCTTTTGCAAATCCTAGGACTCGTAAAACATATTTCTCTAAAACTCAACGCTATATTGATTGCAGAAAACCTTTAACAAGTTGGTAATATTACTGTTTTCATGCCGTTTCTGCAAATGAAAGTGAGAGAGAGGGAGGGCTTTAGAATGGTGGATGTGCAGTCGGGTGTTGCACCTGAAAAATGCTTATTAGCGACATGGCGTAGCCGCAATCGTTGAGTGCATAACTTAAAGTCCTACCCCGAAAAAGATATTAGAGAGAGAAGGGAGGGCAAGGGAACCCAAAATAAAAAAGTCACAGCTTTGCCGCAAAGGCAAAGCAATGAACGCAATAGCAACAAATTGGAAGGTCACGCGAAGAATGGCAAGCAGATCGAAACGTGCCCCGCCCTTCTGATGCACAAATGACGCACCAAAAGTACTCACAGGTACAGATGAACGCGAATAAACATCTTACTTGTTACTTTACTGCGTCTGAAAAGCGTGCCCCTTTCGCAAACGAAGAATGTGCAGCGAGTGCAGTGACCTTTGTGCGCCCAATAATAACAACAACAGAATCATTCCAGTGAAAGCCCAAGGCGTACAATTCTCCCAACTGCGAGATAAGCGCGGGGACGCGTGAGCGTCCACCCCCAACCCCCTCTCCGTGGGGCAAAATACGTGTGGGAGATGAGAGCGTGCTCCACCGCGCCGTGACTATCTGACACCGCGCGCTCATTGCGCAATTTAGCTGGTAATGTTGAAAACACGATAGTTAACCCCGAGATGAGCTTCGCCAGCGGTAAGTGATAGATATAAATAGCTTGCCGTTTCAACCTTGAAGTAGGTGCTCCTTCGTGGCTCGGTGGCTAACGCCTCACACACACAAACAAGAGGTCCCACGTTCGATTTCGTGCGCTGGAGTCTTTTTCTGAATTATTTTTCTTTCTTGCGTTTTCATATATGTAGATATGTATACATATACTGCGAATGACGTCGACGGCAAAATCTAGCCGAGAGTGTCCATGTAATTGCTGTCGCAATAAAAGAAAAAGATAACTATTAGGTAAAATCTCACCAGGTGAGATGCAGTTGGAGTCGAACCGCTCCTCAGTGGGCAGGACCTCTCCCCTTTCGCGTGCCTCTTTCTCTTGTGCCTGGGCTTCTTTTGCAGACCTAACAACAAGCAAAAATATGTGGCACAGTATTTACACAAGGGCCAGATACAGATCTTCTACCCGGTGAACTTTCCAATTAGTCCACACTCGGTGAACACAATCTCCCACTGTGGATACGAGCGACATGAGAAAGATACACTTAAAATACAAAAAGCTTACTTTTAGTATACTACATGTCTTTCGATGCAAGGACACATCATGGACAACATTAACGTCTTTTAAAGCAGCATAGAAGAAAAACTTGGAGCAACAGTGAATGGCGACACGGTTATTTAGAAAGCGGCAAGTTTTTCTGCACCTTTGACATTGCTAATTTTGCCTGTCAAAGAGACTTATTCGAAGAAGTTTGCTCAAGACAAGTACATGTCGTATACAAAGCTCAAATGATTAAGCTTCTAATCTAATAGGGAACGCTAGTACTACCAGAAGCACAAATAACACATCTAATGATTGTTGCACTACTGCAATACTGTGCCGCTACCTGTGTCACAAGCTTCCAACAATTTCATGAACAGAATTTACGCAAGGGATGCCTAAATAAAGAAAGCATACAGCATAGAAACAGAAAACAAATACTTGATTGATTGATTGATATGTGGGGTTTAACATTCCAAAACCACCATATGATTATGAGAGACGCCGTAGTGGAGGGCTCCGGAAATTTTGACCACCTGGGGTTCTTAAAACGTGCACCCAAATCTGAGCACACAGGCCTACAACGTTTCCTCTTCCATCGGAAATGCAGCCGCCGCAGCCGGGATTCGAACCCACGACCTGCGAGTCAGCAGTCGAGTACCTTAGCCACTAGACCACCGCGGCGGGGCAAAAAACAAATACTTAAGGGGGCAGACTGGTCTTAGACATTTTTGTTTATTTCTTCAGTGATCTTGATAAAACTGCACATGGTTATGCAGTTTTTTGTGCTGATTTCAAATATTTAATTAGTTTTCCTGTCATTCAGTTTGTTCCTGAGATAACTTAAGTTTGCCCCCTATTGTTTAAGGCCACCATAGAAGAAAAAGTGCCTAATTAAAAGTGATATTTAGGATATGCCAACATAGACTAATGACTATAGAGTGAAAGTATGGAAGAGGTTTTTGTTTTTAGGCCTTTATTGGTTATTTTGCAGCAAAATGAACTATACATTTTCAAAAGCAGTTGTAATTAAGTTACAATACTGATTAGTAATTTATTAAAAAGGCATGTGCTCTAAATTCTGCTCCCATACTTGCATTCTACACACATACAGCTTTCCACTGCAAAGAGAATTATTGTTGTACCTGCCCAAGCTGCAGAGATATTGAGGCCTCAAAATTGAATAGTCACAAATTTACTTTTTTGAGAAAAATGGAAAAAACTGAAAACACACAGTTTCTTTAAAAAGCAACAATCATGGTGTGCATGTTTTGCGATCCTCATGAAGGCGCTCATAAATTAGTAGGAGAGCTCTAGACAAAGGTGCTGGCAAATTATAAAGAAGCCTCAAAGTCGGTTCCCTATTTTTTTGCAGGTTCTGCATGTTAACAGCACCAAGAATCTGGACAGTTAAAATCACATTACAAAAAAATTACTGCTTCCTGGTGCGCGAAAATTTGTAGAGAGATAGAAAAATACTTGCAGAAACCAAATATGTCAATTTTAAAAAATGAATTTTTTTGTCACTTTTTGGTCCCAAAGAGCAGTCTGCCCCCTTAAGTCACAGTGTTATAGGGACAACCAAAAGATCAACAGAGTGTTTATGATCGTACTGTGTGTACAAGTGACTTGCCATTTTATTGAGAATGAACGAATGGAAGAAATTATCACTGGTTTCTCAGGAATATGACGTAATTTTAGTATGTAGCAGGAGTGTGATAATGACACCATGTTTAGTGATGCTTGATGAATAATTTGCTAAAAAAAACAAGACCATAAAAACAGATTTAAATTCGTATGAGAGTCTCTTTCTGAGGTGAATAGGGCATAATTGTTGATAAATAGCCGCATTGACCACAGCAACACAAGCGCATCATTGATAGAAAGGATACTCTGCTGTCCATACCAGAGATTTTATTCCTAGTGCGATGATGTTTATTCGAACAGAGGAGCCGCAACGAGGTCGCGACGGAAAATGGGCGAACGACAAGTTTGGCAAAGACGGCACAGGTTCTCGCGCAATCAGAGCACGGGGTTCTTCGTTCTCTTTTGAAGGCGCATACGCGTTAGTGCGTATGCTCCACTGCAATACCCCCGGGGTGAAGAGTAGTTATCCTGGCGACTCAGGGAGTAGGCACAATGAGGGGGTCGTAGTAGGGCTTGAGACGGTCGACGTGCACGGTCTCATGTCCTCGACGGCGCAAGTCTGGCGATTGTGTTAGGGGCTCGATAATGTAATTCACCGGCGAGGTTGCGTCAATGACACGGTATGGACCATGGTACCGGGCCAGAAGCTTAGAAGAAAGGCCAGGAACGTGTGGGGGCACCCAAAGCCACACAAAAGAGCCAGTACGAAACGTAGGCGCCATGTGATGAACGTCGTCATGTTGGGTCTTTTGTAGACCTTGAGCCTCACTTGTCATAGATCGAGCCAACTGACGGCAGTCTTCTGCGTATCTGGCGACTTCCGAAAGCGGGGAGCACTCCGATGCATCAGGGCGGTACGGGAGTATGGTGTCAAGTGGGTGGGATGGTTCGCGGCCGTACAACAGAAAGAACGGGGAAAAACCGGTAGTCGCTTGCGTCGCGGTGTTATAAGCGAATGTAACAAATGGTAATACAGCGTCCCAGTTAGTGTGGTCGGAGGAGGTGTACATCCTCAGCATGTCGCCAAGTGTGCGGTTGAACCGTTCAGTGAGACCATTCGTCTGTGGATGGTATGCGGTAGCTTTCCGGTGTATGATGTTGCATTGAGCGAGAATAGCTTGTATGACCCCCGACAGGAACACTCGACTCCTATCACTGAGTAATTCGCGTGGAGCCCCATGGAGGAGAATGAAGCTGCGCAGAATGAAGAGTGCAACTTCGTGGGCGGTCGCTGCCGGTAGAGCTGCAGTCTCAGCGTAGCATGTCAGATGATCGACGCCGACATTCACCGGTTTACAGAGCGACTATATGGCAGGGGGCCATAGAGGTCGATACCCACGCGGTCGAATGGGCGAGCCGGGCATGGGAGCGGCTGTAACATGCCAGTAAGGTGCCGCGGAGGTGTCTTGTTCTGTTGGCAAGTGGTGCAAGACTGAACACATTTCTGCCCGAAGCGATACATTCCTCGCCAGTAATATCGTTGGCGCAGCCTTTCATAGGTTTTCAGGACACCTGCGTGAGCACTTTGGGGATCTGCATGGAAATTCATGCAGATGTCAGAGCGCATATGAGTTGGAACAGCAAGGAGCCACTTCCGACCACCAGGCATATAGTTGCGGCGGTACAGAATGTTGTTTCGCACGGAAAAGTGGGTTGCCTGCCGGCGTAGCGCTCTCGTGGAAGGGACAGCAGACGGATCGGCAAGGTAGTCGAGTAACAATGCAAGGTATGGATCTTTACGCTGCTCCGAAAGCATGTCAGTGGTGTCGATTGGTGACAAGGTCGCAAAAAGGGGTGACAGAGAAGCCACATCTGGTGTTAATGGCGATCGCGAAAGTGCATCGCATCCGCATGCTTGCGACCGGAACGATATACGACACGGATGTCGTATTCTTGCAATCGAAGTGCCCAACGCCCCAGGCGTCCGGACGGGTCTTTCAAGGTGGACAGCCAACATAGAGCGTGGTGGTCTGTGACCACGTCGAAAGGACGGCCGTAAAGGTATGGGCGAAACTTCGTCAACGCCCAGATTATGGCCAAACACTCCTTCTCTGTCACGGAGTAATTCAATTCAGCCTTCTTGAGAGCGCGACTTGCATAGGCGACTACGTATTCAGCTTGGGTGCCTTTCCGTTGTGCCAAAACTGCACCAAGACCGATGCCACTTGCATCGGTGTGAATTTCTGTGGCAGCAGCAGGGTTGAAGTGACGAAGAATAGGTGGTGAGGTCAGCAGGCGGCGCAGCTGGCGAAATGCGTCGTCACAGGCAGGTGACCATGCAGATATGCTTTTGCTGTTGGAAAGCAGACTCATGAGAGGTGCGATGATGGACGCGAAGTTGCGCACGAAGCGACGAAAGTAGGAGCAGAGACCGACGAAACTTCTTAGGGCTTTTAGTGATGTGGGCAACGGAAAGTCAGCGACAGCTCGAAGCTTAGACACGTCAGAATCTCGTGGAGGCGAGCAAGATGTGTCGGGAAATCAGATGAAAAGACTACGATGTCGTCCAGGTAACACAAGCAGGTTTTCCACTTATGGGCACGCAAGATGGTGTCGATCATGCGCTCAAATGTGGCAGGCGCGTCGCAGAGCCCAAATGGCATGACTTTGAACTCATATAGGCCATCCGGCGTTACAAAGGCTGTTTTAGGGCGATCACATTCAGCCATTGGCACCTGCCAATACCCACAACGCAGATCCAAAGATGTAAAGTACTCGGCGCCTTGTAAACAGTCAAGAGCAACGTCTATTCGTGGTAGCGGGTAGACATCTTTTTTCGTAGTATTGTTTAAGCGGCGATAGTCCACGCAAAATCGTACGGTGCCATCTTTTTTCTTGACCAGAACCACAGGTGATGACCAAGCGTTTTGAGAAGGCTGCATGACTCCACGTTTAAGGGGAGACGCGGGTCGAAAAGTCGCGTTTTTTTTCCAAATTTCACCTTTTCTGTTTTTTGTTGCTTTATCATCTTTATACATTATATTTTGACATCTGAAAATATCACAGCGAAATAAGCATCAGAAGTCAGTGAAAAACGCGTCTGAGTGAGCGGCAGTGACGCGCGGCATCACGAAATTTACACAAAACGGGCTGCTGTTCGCGTGCTCGCGGGGCCGCGAAGAGAGCTGTCCGCCATATTGCGGCCGCTGGCTCGTGTAGAGTTGTCCTTACTCTCCACGATCCCGGTTCTTGAAGTCTCGTACGTTCACGAAAAAT